CACCTGGAAGTCAGCACTACTGCACACACTTCTGACTAAGCATGCAAAGGACTGCAGTAAGATGCTTTTCATCAGCATCTTTGTCACACTAACACTAGCAAAGGGATTGCTCAGACACCATGCTTTTTTAACAGATGGAGCAATATCAAGATAAACATTGGTCTAGATATAATAGTTAATCTCAACTAGAGTAGACCCAGTGAATCAATAGCACTTCAGCTAGTCAAAATGTCCCATATGTGCATTTCATTGATTCATTGGGTCTACTGTCAGTCATGCTAGCAATTGGATTTAGGCCTTCAGCATCTTAAATGTGACTGTGTGGTGTGGTAGACAGACTGATCTGATGAGGAGATCTGGGTTTGAATCCCTACTCATCTATGGACACTCACTGGGGAAGCATGGCCCTGGTAAAACAACAAATTAAATATTTCACTTACTTTGAAAACCCTTTTAGAGTTGGGATAAGCCAGATGAAGCATGGTAGCACATCCCATGTATCTTAAAGTTAGTCCTCCTAATTCAACACAGAGAGGGAAAGTTGCCTCTTTATCAAAAAGGGCAATAGCCTCCTTGTCCTAACTGGACCTTACTCTGTTTGCAGGATACTTGTATGTCTTACAAGATCAAGCAAACACGGGCAAGGTTAGATTGCACACCCAACTGAAAGCAAGGATGTGGGATTTAATCACAACATGATATCCCATGATATTCCACAATATCAGTGGCATTTCAACATAACAAGTAACTTTTGCTGAATTATGATGCTCAGTTGTGACTCTGCAGGGGCGAGTCAAGAAAATCCACAATAGACAGTATAATCTATTAATTCATTAGTAATGAAGTTAGGTGTCTCAGTGATGCTAAATAATATTTTCATGTTTAAATTCTGATTAAACTCAGTTTGTTGAGAGGCTTATGGCCTGTTTATGAAATTTACTATAACTGTCAAACTATTTGCTTGGAAAAATACTAATAAATGTCAAGTAAATTTGCCATGTTACTAAAGTCATTAGGTTGTTGCATCAGTACATTTCATATGATACTGTACAGTTACTTCCATTTTATAGACTTCTGATTAAAGGATCTGAGGATTTTGATCTACGTTTATTTATCTATAAACCTCATCAACATTTGCACAATTAGGCTTACCAAGCCTGAGGTTCAGAAGCTTTTCCTGGCATGCAAACAAAGTGATTGGAATAGTTTTGACCTGATGAATATGTGTTCACTTGCTAGTTGTTAAAGGTGTAGGAATAGGAATTATGCCTGGTTCTTTATAAATAATAGGATCATTGGTGTGTTCTGCCTACAGGAATGGAGCTATAGAATTTAAATGCAAACCAGTTTATAAAAAGTGTGTGCAAAGGCAGAGGCTTAAGAAATCAGGGTTTCTAAAGCCCTATAAAATCTTCTTTACACAGAACATTTTGCTCTACAAAACAAAATACGTTAACTTTGGCTACAGTTCTAAATGCACTTGTTTCAACAAAGCCCTATTTACTTAACACATTTAGTAGCCGCCTTAAGAATTTTATAATAATACATAGTATTCAGAAAGAATGAATGCTATTATGTAACAACATTTCTGAGCCAAGCAACTTGGGCTACAGGGAGAAAATATGAATTCCAAGTATAATTCAGTACATGATTCTGGCAGCATGGGATAATAAATGCCTCAGCTTGCTACTTCCTAATTTTGACCCATTCTCCAGTAATTCCAACATGGAATACATTTAAAGCTAAAATAAAATTACTTGTTTCTGTTACAATGACTGGCACAGCTATACCTTCAGGATCTGTCTCTTGAAATATTCATTAATTCACACATTTTTCTGAGATTATGTTATCAGCTAGTAAGTGGGGATTGAAGACATGGCATTGGGAAAGGGGTGTGTGCAAACTTTTCATCCAGAGTTGTTTTTATCCTTTCCAAAGTTGCTATTTGCTTCAGGAGGGAAAAGAAATAGGCATTCAAGTGAAACTTTTATGTTTTCCTCAGAAAGGCAAGCAGCAGTTTAAGGGAGGGCTTTAATCTGGAGAAAAAGCACAGATAAATGCCTGAGTCCTAAAGCATCACAGTCATAACCAAAATTGGACCCACTCATGGTTGTTATTAATTACTTTTTAAGGGCAAGAAATGAATGCAGCTGTCACAGACCATCTACTTGCACTCTAAGGATGGTAATTTCTAGCAGGATTTTGTAACTTGTTTTTTAAAAATGCTCTGATTTATGGCATTTTCTTTATATTTATTCATCATGTTAGTTTCTTTTCCTTCGCTATTTTCTCTTCTTCTTCTCCCCCTCCCATCAAGTTTATGTATGTTGTAAATAAACCTTACACAAATAGCCGTTTGCCTAAACAAATAATTTCACTTGCCCCATGAATGTCTCAAAACTTTTGGTAAGTCCAGATGTTTTTTCTATATGTACTTCTGACTGCTTTTGGTTCATTTCTCCTAATTGCCAAGGTATAAACAAAGGTCATATGCGGTGGTAGTTAATTACCTATGTAATTAATTACCTATGTAATTAACTAACACGGGAGCTTTTCTCTTCATATCTTAGAAAAGTTGCTCTTTGGACTAAACTTCCACAATCCCCCACTTGCTTGAGCATTCTGGGAGTTGTAGTCCAAAGAGTACGTTTCCCACCTTATGCTTTATTATGCAGACTGCAGCTGTAGGTCTCGCTGATTTAAAACAGGACACTTAAGAGCAGACCTGGGCAAAGTGCGGCCCAAGGGCCACATATGGCCTGCAAGCTGCTGCCGCCCGGCCCATGGACAGTTTTGAACATCGAAACCATTTATAGCTTTTTGTCTAAAGTTGATCAGTTGCTTATCTTTAACATACCACAAAAAACCTCTTTAGTATTTGTGAAGATTAAGAAGTTTAAAATAAAAACAATCATAACATCACTGTTTCATTTTATTTTTAAGTAAAGTTGGTTCAGCCCCCAAACACAGTTCAGATTTTTCATGTGGCCCCTCTATAGAAATTAATTGCCCATGCCTGCTTAAGAGTGACCTTTCCATCATGTAAGAAAAGAGGCACTGAAATGGCTTATGCTATAATTTTGAAGCCAACATTTAGTCTGGCGCTAAAATAGCAGTTTTGAATGTGACAAATGTACCAGGCAGTCTCTGGATCAGAGGCAATTTCATCAACATTTGGAGATAATTCTATGTAGGGTTTATTTAGTAAGTTGGAAGAGGTGCATGAGAGGTGATGCTCAAGAAGATCCTTCTGACACGGTTACTATTCCTTCATAGAAGTAAAATTGCTGCTGTTGGGGATGATGGCGAATCATATCCTACTCAGAAGGTAATTGCACCTGGACAGGTCACTCTCTTTTCAGCCTGCCCTATCTCACAGACTTGTTGTGAAGATAAAATAGAGGAGCGTCATGTGTACAACCTTGAGCTATTTAGATAAAGACCAAAACAGACTACACTCTTTTATTTCTGATTACCATATATGAGCATGAAAGTTGGACAGTAAAGCCAACATTTGGGGTGGGGGGAATGATTTATTTGAAATATGGTGCTGGAGGAGAGGTTTGTGAATACCCTGGATTGCCAGAAAGATGAACAAGTGAGATCAAATCAAGCCTGAACTAACTCTGGAGGTGAAAATGTTGAAACTAAGGCTTTCATCTTTTGGGCATATCATGAGAAGGCAGGCTTCTCTGGAAAAGACAATGACACTAGGAAAAGTTGAAGGCAATAGGAACAGGGGAAGTCCATGTACAGAAGGATTGACACCCTAAAGGAAGCCATAGACTTGAGTTTAAAAGAGCTGAGCAAGGCTGTTGAAGAGAGGACAATTTGGATATCCCTCATTCATAGGTTCACGGTATATTGGATTTAACAAGAGGAAGACCAAATGTGATGGACTGATGCCACAGACTTGAGTTTGCAAAAGCTGAGCACAATTGTTGAGGACAGGACATGTTAGAGATCGCTTATTCATGGGGTTGCCATATATTGTGTACGATTTGATAGCACATAACAACGTGTGCAACTTTAAGCGGTTTAGAGAAAAAGTAAAAAGGTCATAAATAAATCCACCTGCTTAATTGCTAGCTAAAGGATCCTGTGAGTTGGGTATCTGGCTGTGGAGCCAGCGGTGAGGCGTTTGATTCACAGCTGTGCCTTCTGGGAGAAGAGCCAGCTATACAGTTCCAACGTGCCCTCAGAAGAAGGGACTAACAAACCACTTGAGTACTGTACTGTAGTTTGTACTTTGAAAATGCTAGGAAGGGTTGCCGAACGTCGGAATTGACTTGAGGGCATGTTTTAACGATTATATGAGAGGACTGATGTGCGACACGCACAGTTCTTCCTGCAGTCATAAGCTCCCCGACCATCAACAGCCATCGAGAAAGATTTTCTGTGGCATTTACTCGTACTGTAGAGTCCAGGAAATGTAGAAAACTGGGCTCTGTAATCAAATGACTGGGAGAACAGCTTGGATGGGTCACAAAGAAGCCCTCTCGGGAGCGAAAAAAGGAAGCCCATTCCTTATAATACCTTTTTTTTGCGGTTTCAGTTTTTAAGAGGGTGGGAAAGAGCCGGCCAGCTCCCCTCTCGCCCCCAAGCGTGTGTACGCGCCGGCGTGCCTGTGAGAGAAAAAGAGCGGCCGGCGGAGCGGGGCGAAGAGGCGAGCGCACCGTGGCTCCGCCTCACGGCCGGCGACCGCGTTTGCTTGGCACAGCAGAGAAGCGAGCCAGACACA